TAAATTACTGTGTAAACGAACTGATATTGAAGATATCGCCATCTACTTGTAAATAAGTCAATCACTTACAGAGAATTTGAACACCAGTGATTAAAAAATATTTAATGTATGTCATAGAGCCCAAAAGATGGCGCGCTGGCTCTTATCTGACGTCCCTATTGAGCAAAATTACAAGCTTTACTTCAAGGTTTCAAATAAGTTGATTGGGAAAGTTAAACTTATTGACCAAAAAAGAATTGTAGAGCAAAAATTTGGGGACACTAACCAGTTGTGGGATTTTATTAAGAGTAAATTGGGAAATAATGGTAAGGCAAACAAAAGGGAAATCACATATTTAATGTAGGAGGTTAGACAAAAAAAAAGATATAATTGCTGACCATTTCAATAACTTTTTCTGCAATGTAGGTTCAACCCTGGCTGAAAAGATAGTAAAGCTAAAGATAGCTGATTTAATGCAAATTCCCAAGAATGACAAATCTTATTAATCCTATAGCCTATAGATAGTGATAAAATTTCTAGAATTATAACTCAGATGAAAGTTAAATGTGCAGGAGGTGATGGTATTAATGTTGAAACTATTAAAATAATCAAGGACTTTATTGCTAAACCATTATAGCATATTTTTAATAAATGCATTCAATTGGGAATATGGCCAAGTACACTAAAATCAGCGGTAATTATACCTATATATAAAACAGGTGATAGGCACTGTGAAACCAATTATAGGCCAATCTGTTTGATATCAAACATTGCAAAAATACTGGAGAAACTAATACATACTAGGTTGTTTGACTTTTGCTCAAAATTTATATTAATATCTGACAAACAGTTTGGTTTAATCAAGGGTCGTGGTACAAACGATGCATTAAACTATGTTGTGGATAAGGTCTACAAGGTGTTTAGATGGAAGTAAACTTGTACTTGCAACTTTTTTAGATCTTGCTAAGGCCTTTGATACAGTTGACCATAGTATTCTCTTGAAAAAATTAAATAGCATTGGTATCAGAGGCGTGGCACTGAAACTGTTTGAAAGTTACTTGTCAAAGAGACAACAAGTATATAGTTAGATTGGCTAACTATTGCGGTCAGCGTATGTAGGTAACAGGCGTACCTCAAGGCACAATTCTTCGGCCTTTGTTTATCTATATTAACGATTTGCTGTCTCTGTTACCATCTGAAACTAACGTATCTTACGCCGACGACACTGTTACATTGTATAGTGATGATTCATGGAACAAAGCCCAGAACAGAATGGACAACTCGCTTAACTATGGGCACATTCAGGCGGTGCCAGCGGTTAAGTTCAGCCACCACGGAGAAATTGATGGCTGTCACAGTATTAAGAGTCACAAATGTTTTCCCATTCTGTGTCATAATAATGTATGAATGACTTGGAAGAGTTGAATTTCCAAATGTGTGCTGTTTGAAGAGATATCCAAAAATGTCAAATGTGTAAGTTGTGAGCAATGAACTATAAACTACACGTACCTGGAATGGCCCGCCAATCCATAAATTTGCGGCAAATTGAGATGAAGAATGTGGGGTAAACCTATCTCTATTTATCTTATCGGCGAATTATGGAAATCTTTCTTTGTCTAAAAAATAATATATTTGAGGTTAGGAATATACCAAACCTAACAGCAATGAACTGGTAGTCGATTCTCGAATTTGGTAGAAGTGAACGTTCCCCTAGGAGAAGTGAGAGATCACATCGCACGCTCGTTCTCTTGATGCCAAAGTTGGTATTCTCGAACGTATAGGATTATGATAGAATGAGAGAAAACTTGTCAAATAATAATGCGTTGTTGCCAACAGTAATATGTAGAATTAGCCACAATTTTGGTGCGTTAAAAGGACGAATGTCATGAGAAAGAAGAAAACCGGTATCCCTGCGTTTTTATTCTCATCAAATTTTCCACCATTCTATGTCGGTCATTATCATTTTCCATTCACTAAACAAAGATAGCTAACTCATCGGTAAAGTCCGATTAGAATACAAACGAGGGGTTTGTTTTATTTGTGTTTTGGGACGTAATCTCATTCTTTGCTTATTTATTTACTGAAAATCAAATCATTAATCATTTTATTTTACAATTTTTATTTTCGTGCTGTTTTGTGGAAAATGAATTTGGAAAAATCAAGATGTTCACCTATAAATCATACTCAAAAAGAAATGCTCATTGAATTTTTAAGGTAAAATGAGAAACTTCAAAGTGGAAAATTTACCTCCGATTTTACCACAGTTTTTAATGATGAAGTTTTAGTTGGAGTCCGTATAAAAGGTGTCAATAAATCAATTAAATTTCGAGCAAGATCTTTGCTTAATCTAAATAGTTTTATAAATTTATTATCCGTTAAATCAAAGGGATTTTCTCTTCTGTGAAATCTCCTAAAGGCCTTTCTTCTTGCTCTTCTGCATCTAGTAGATCATTCAGTACAAGAATTCTTCCTATAACCGCAGCTAGCCATGGTTTCCCACGCTTTCGTATTAGACCGTATTTTCCACTTGCACCCCTTAAAATAACAGCAGTTTTTGGATCAAGTATGTTTAACTTTATCGGCGATAACGATTACCACGACCTTCAAAATCAGAGATTTTGCATCGCCAAACGTTCACATATTTCCGTTATGTCTATTTTACCTTTGGGCCATGAACTGCGCCTGCGCCTTCAGATGTAAACCAATTTCATCACATCAAAATGATAATCCGCACTTATTTGTATTTGTATTTTCTCAAATTTCAGATGATTTTTATTAATTATTTATTAAAACGGGATGATATCTATTCAATTTTCTTCAATGTGGCATCCATACAGTTTTACCATATCCATAGGTATAGCTATAAGCACAAGGTTATTCTTCCTTAAATAACGCCGCTCGTTGTGGTTGATAAGTACAACGAACATTTTTAGCTACTGCGCATACTCAGTATAACGATAACCACAGCGGAATGGCAAAATAAGAAGTGCAAAAATTCTCTAACACCATGATGATGACTGTAAAATTGACAAAAAGCGCATGTTTGACGTTTGGTTCTCCCGAGAACAGACGTTCTCTTAAAAAAAAGTAGTAGAATAAGATTCTCTCAATTTTCATAGGAAGTGAACGGTCCCTAATTTCGAGAATACGTCTTAATAGATTTTAATAGAAACCGCACGTACTTTTCCTATGAGAACAGGGATCACACAATTCGAGAATCGCCGTCCTGGAGAGAGAAAGGGATCCCCCACTATGTAGCTTTTTTGGACGCACCAAGTGAGATGACAAATGCCATATGCGACAACAGTCGGTGCCATTCCAGATACATTTAGTTTATAGTTCATTGGTTGTGGGTAATATCAGAAAGTTTTCAATGAAGTTAGTTACAAGTATACAGGGTGTGTCACAAAAGTGTGGCAATGCAAAGTTAAACTTTTTTAAATGGAACACCCAATATATTTTTGACCCATAGGATTAGCTTTTCAAAACTGATTCCAAATATACAAGGTTTTTTAGTCCGGGAGAAAATAAGAGAAAAAAAGGGTGGAATAAGTATATTTTTATTCAAAAAGGTGAAGTATAGAGACCACCAGCAAAATATAAAGGTAATCATTCAAGTAAAAATTCCATATTATTTCTTCAAAATGGGATATTCAGAGGCTGGACTATGAGGGATAAACCCATAAAACCTAGTAAATTTGGAATCAGATTTGAAAGGCTAATCCAATAGGTCAATAATATACAAGGTGTTCCATTTGAAAAAGTATAATTTTGCTTCGCCACACTTTTGTGACACACCCTGTATACTTGTAACTAACTTTATTGCAAAGTTTCTGATATTACCCGAGATATTACCTGAAACTTTCACACTTGACATTTCTGGGTATCTCTGCAAACAGGTGAGATAGGTGCGGGTGCAAAAAATTGACAATCACCCGGTACCTAGTACCATATCAATATCTATTTCGCTGTATAAGTATAAAATCGAAAAGCGCTTTTAAAAGTTATGGTATATTGCGCAAAAGTCGCTTTATGCTTGTACGATTACTGACTGATTGCGCCCTTCTGAAGCTTGCGCCCGAGGCAAATGCCACCTTCGCCAAGCCCTAGTTACGGCACTGGAAAAGGAAGCTAGTTGAAAACTTTTGATAATTTTTTAAAACTTTTGTATATAACACTTCTGTCAAAAACGTCTAATGAAAAAGTTCGCAGGGTTACCCCCATTTATAATAGATCAACCTGTACAGTAAATGTTGTATATCACACGTACGGTAACGCTCCTTACACCACTCGTGTGATTACCACGACTCGGTATACGACCTCGTCTTGGCAATATTCTGCACTCGTTACTGTAATGAAGCTCATACCGTACTAGTAATATAATAGTTATTTACATTACACGTGCGTTTATGAACATGATTACAATAACGAGTGTGAAAGATTAGAACGACGAGGTCGTAGACCGAGTCGTCCTAATCGACCTAATCACACGAGTTTTGTAGTCATATTCGAACGCACGTCTGATGTACAACGTTTTATCTACAAAGCGAAAACTGAGAATGTTTTTTCAATCATTTTCTTTTATTAGTCGTTGTTGTCTACCTTCATTTTACCTTCACAGGCGTAACTTTGACATTTGTCAAATTATGTATTCATAACCTAGTCCATAACACCATTAACCCTTTTCACGTGGCTCCGGTTTAACAAACCGCAACATACCGCTCAAATTCGAGTGGTAGGTATCCATCACGTTATTTTGTAACCGGGTTAAGAAAACGGTATGTCATTTCTCTAACCGTTTTGTAACCCGGTTAGTTAAACCGGAGCCACGCGAAAAGAACTATTGTTTTGTTATGAGTCTCATGACATAACTCACTCAAATACCAGAAAAATGGTTATGTAGAATCCACCTGTCAGAATAATAATTATTGAATTATTGATGTTTAAAATGTCAAAGCACAACCGTCAAAGTACCAATCCAAAAAATCAAATTTTCAGTCATTAAAAAAAAAAAAAAGAAAATGCCCCCAAAGCAAAAAATACCCATACATGATGTCAGCCCGATCTTACAAAAACTCAGAGAATTTTTACTAGGAAGAAAGCACACTCTCCACACGAGATCTCCTGAATTATGGGCCAGCAGAAGCGTGCCACCTCCGAACCTTCCTGACGGGGACGCCCATAAATTGAAAGACAATTACTACTTTAGCAGAAACATTAGAGGACAGGTGAAGCCTCCTGAAATAATTTCTGGTAGAGCTAAGAAGATTGTGGATGTTTGCAAGGCCGACATTGAAAAAATTACGCCTGGAAAACTTTGGAGATGGGATTGAAAAAAATTCCCAAATTCTGGAATAGCTTGTGATATAAATTAAAGAATGAGTTTAACTTTAATGACTCTGATCAATACATTATTTTATAAATATAATACAATGCTTTTTTTCCACCCAACTTTACAAGTCAAAACTTAGAACAGACCCTAAAGAACCCAACTTTTTATAGACTATTAGGAGTTCTCACCAAATAAGTTCAAAAAGTCAATTTTTCGAAACTTTATCTACTTACTTGATAATGAATTTGTTGCCCAGGCAAGGGTGGTTGCGGTTGCGCGTGATTAATTTGGGGCATTCGCATTGTGACACTGCTGCTTTGTTGATTTTGATTTGGTACATGTGAACTTTGCACTGCTGTTCCATGTTGATTTTGTATTGGGGCTCCTTGAACACTGCGCATCATTGATTGAACTTGACTTTGTTGGTGATTTTGTAAATGGCCCAGGTGTTGTGCAGCAACCTTTTGAGTCGGTAACGGTGCTTTAGGAAGCGAGGGTTGCTTGGGAAGAGGAGGCTGAGGCGGTGATCTAGGTTTTGATTGGTTTCCTTGCATCCTTGAGGGTAGAGGACTTCTTGATCTTGACCTACTCGAATATATACAGGTTTCGATATAGCAATGTTGATTTTCTGCCCAATTAAAATCGCTTACCTACTGCTTGAAGAAGTACTACTGTCAGAGTACGACCTTCTGCGCCGCCTTTCAAAAGATCGACTCCTTCTTTCATTGGAGCGACTTCTGCTGTGGCCTTTACTCAAACTTCTACTGCGACTTCTGTCTCTATCTCTGCGACCTCTGCGTGGTGAACGGGAACGCGATCTTAGTGCACCACGACCAGGCCTACCACCACCGTTTCTTCTCCAACGACCTATTTTTAGAATAATAGATAACATCAAGATTTATCTTATCATAATTAAGCTTGATACTCACTGCGTCCACCTCCAGCACCTCCAGGTCCTCCATGATCAGCCATATCTTGTAATTTCGGATTGATCACCTGTTTGGCCTCTTTCAATACAGACACCAAATCGGACGCTTTGTTTGAATTTTGGGGTGTGAAAAACGTGTAAGCTGTACCGGTCTTTTGAGAACGACCTGTACGTCCGATGCGGTGCACGTAATCTTCTGAATTGCTTGGATAGTCAAAATTGATGACAAATTTGACATCTTCAACATCTGTAAATTTTTTTCTATATTAGATTTTGTTTATTGGCTTATATATAAAAAGAATATACATGTGAAAAAGTCATCATATTAGAATCGGCAAATACATAAGCATGACAAAGACAATGATGCTGCCACTATTTAAGTTCCTCTCTGTTGTTAGTTTTTTTTTGTTTTTAACTTGTTTTTTACATATTTTTTATTATCATTAAATTCTCTTATAATTGCCTTGGTTTGCCTTTGTTACACTTGTGTATACCTATTCTGAATATAATGTTTTGGCACTTGTAAAATACTTGTAAACTTAACACATAATAGTTATTTATGCAACAAGTGTGTAAAGTGAACCTTTTTTCACGAATGTGAATTTTGTCGCACTCGCCTTCGGCTCGTGCGTCAAAATTCACATTCGTGAAAAAAGGTGCTTTACGCACGTATTGCATACAAAATTTTTTCTACTACCAATCAAATATGTGTAAAAAAAATAAACTTAGACAAATACTTTAGGCACTAGTGCGTAAAGTATTTTCACTTTACGCACTAGTGTGTGAAGTAATTTACCAGAAAAATATTAAATTGACAGTTTCAACATCTGTCAGTGACCGTACTTTACGCACTACTGTGTGAAGTGAATTACTTTACGCACTAATGCGTGAAGTGAAATTTTACGTCTTCTGAATAGTGCGTAAAGTGAGTACTTTACGCACGGTAGTAGAAAAAATATTATTTGCTTAAATTTTATTTTATTTTTTTTGAAATAATTGCATATTCACTACTACTGCTACAAACTAGTTTTGTAAACCATAAACAAGGAACTTGTAAGGAATTAAATCAGTCACGTTTGCAAAATAGGCTAAAATAGGGAAACAATAAAATGAAAAGAATGAAAATGAGCATATGAAAGAGAAAGAAAAAGCAGTAAAAAAAGGCATGTAAAAAAGAAAATGTAGGACCTAAAATTAAAATATGTAATAACATTTCATCTTACACCAATCTGAAAAAAACATCAAAAATCCAGAATTCCACAAAGATTTGACACTTGAACTGCTCAGCTTACCTGCTACTTTATTGAATAAATAAACTCTAGTTAATCCTAAGAGTAGGGTAACTTAAAAGTAAGCTTGTGAATTTGGTAAAGGGTCTATAAGTAACATAGTTTGTTTTGTCCTACAATTTAATGCATTTCCATATGAGAACTAAGAGCATGTTTGATTTTAAAAAGTAACATAAAATGCTAAATGTAGGGAAAGTTATTTCAGATTCCCAAATCATCTTTTGAACTTTATTCAAATGAAACCTTAAGATAAATGATGCAATATAAAATGTCTTTCAAAACAATATAGTGTAAGTCAGAATAATTATAATTGCACTGTATGCAATGATTGTAAGTGAAGGCAGTTTGATGAGCCAGAAAAGTCTTGTTGCCTGCTGATCAAAGACATAAAAAAATTGTCAAAAAGTCACTTCATATACGGCATAGTTTGTTCCAACACAAACCAGAAATTATACTGAACCGCCACTCAAAACTAGTAAGGAACTATTTGGAAAACGGTTATTCTAGGATTGGGATTAAATGATTGAAAGCACATCAATTTTTTTGAAATATACCTCATTAAGTTCTTTTAAAAATTACAGAATTATTGGTTAAATAAGTAAATTAATGTTATTATTCCGATCAGCATCATACAAAAGTTTAGACTGGACCAACATATAATGATAGATTCTAATATTGCACATGGATGCACAGTCTAGAGTAAGCAAATTAAGCAGGCTCTAATTCATTTACAAAGGGAGGCTTACTCTAGAGCGGGTGTCAAAACCTATGATAAAATCCGAGATAAAATCTATCTGATTTATAAAATTTAATTTGTCTAAAGCTCGTTTTTAGTTATTGACGTTAAAGTTCGGCATTCTTTCTATGACTATTTTATGAAAAATATCTTAGAATATTACAGATATACGGGAATTTTTGCATTTTGCTGGGGTTCGAAAATACCAAATAAATCAATAAAGTGCATATTATTATTATAGTCATAGAAAAATCAATTTATTGCTCTGTAAAAAAAATTTAATCACAGATTTACTTTTCATGTTTCCATATTGCTAAATCAACTATTAAGCTGATCTATTATCTATTATTTCATAATTTGTCTTAAAAATACGGCATGATGATGAGGAAAAAAATCAAAACACAATATCCTACCTATGGATTCGTCTACAACAAGTGACATATAATTAGCACACATATTGTGCTAGCTTCCCCTACGGACCAACCAGCCGCCAGCAGCTCCTGTCTCTGGTCCCTCAACACCGCTCTAACTTCGTCTAACTCACACGGCACGTCTGCGCGAGTGCATGTGTCTGACTCCAACGAGTCAGCAGTGAGTGGCGGAGGGATGGACGACAAGAGTGGTGGCTGCGGCGGCAAATGGTCGCCCCTCGCGTCAAAGGGGGCAACGTGGCGGTGGCGGGAAGGGCTCGACCTTAGAGCGCCAATCAGCGCTATCTATGTCGTCGACTCACAAGAGGCACACATGCGGCTTGCGTGGTTCAGGCATTTATAATACACACGCGTACATTGTGCCTCTGAAAAAAGACGACATTGGGCTACGTTTAATAATCTGATTAAGAGATACTGAAAGGACGCTTTGGATATTAGAAATAAAAACAAGGTATCCAATTCATAACATTTTTACAGTCTTATTGTTACTGTATAAAACTAAAAAAGTGTAAAATTCGTGCCTGCTTCTGAGAAGTTAACATATTCATAATGGCATTACAAAATAAAACATAGATTTTTCAACTATGTATTTCATTCCACATACACATAATAATATATTAATATAAAAAGGCACATGTTTGTTGTCTTAGGTGAATAGCATTCTTACTAATGTTCGAAAGTATAATGATAAGCCAAAATGCATGACAAAAATTCGCTGCTTGAAATCTTTGTAACTTTACCTATTTGTCTTATTTAAATAAATATGTAGAAGAAAATACCGTTTAAAATAAGTATAGTCACGATTTGTTAGTCATAATATGCTACTTTCTGGATTTGTAATGCCATCTTGATATATCACATACAATACAGCAAATTGAAACAAAACACTGTGACACTATAAAGCATATATATAATAAACAATAATGCGACATTATCAAAAAATACATACATAGCATACATACCACTGTTATGACATCAGTTTTATTTGTAGCCTACAGATTTTTGAAGCATTTGGAGAAAAAAAATAGGGCGCCAGAATTTGAAGCAACAACCACAAAAGTAAAATCAAAAGGCCAGAACTTCCACAGACTCACAATAGTGAAAAAGATCACTTCTTAAAAAGTAGAACAAATGATAATTATTTTTCTACCTAAGCTATGGAAAATTAATTGAAGCAAGAAAGCTATTGTAGTTCCCATTTAATAATTTGAAAGCTTAGTATTAACACTTCAAATAAATATTTTCCATTAAGTACAAAGATTTTTTTTCTTGTGCTCTGACTTATGATGACAAAGATAATTATTATTGAGTCCCAGAATTATGTACGGAGTTCAGATTATCATGAGTGAATCTGCTTATATCAAATTTAAGTAAAGGTACATCTGCACCTTTTTTTCATAATAGCGTTCAGTAACAATAAGACTGTATATACACAACATTCAAAAGCTTTAAAATGCAAAATAAAACATTAAAAATACATGAAAAAATGCAATTAACAAAAAAATAACCAGATAATAAAACTACTTAGGTAATACAGACGAGCTATGTGACTAATTTAGAACTTACCTAACCCTCTTGCGGCTACATCGGTGGCGACAAGAATGGGAGCCTTACCACTTCTGAAGTCTAGAGGAGAAAATACATTTTTAAGTTAAAGTTTTTGATAGAACATTTTGAAATTATTGTGAGAAAGTAAGAAAAACTTAAATAAGATATTTATGACGTATTCACCTTGTAGTACCCAATCCCTCTCTTGTTGGGTTTTATCACCATGTATGCAAACTGCGGGCCAACTGAAAAAAAAAAAAAAAATATGTATTTAAAAACTATAATGCAATAATTCTAACAAACTGACTCACCCATCCCTCTTCATTTTTCTTGTAACATCATCTACTTTTCTTTTAGTCTCCATAAAAATAATCGTCTTATTCTCTTTTTCCGCCATAATTTCCCTCAATAAAGTACTCAATTTTGCTTCTTTTTCATATTCGTGACAAACATCGATAATTTGCAAAATATTATGATTGGCAGAAAGTTGCAAAGAGCCCACGTTGATCTGAATATAGTCTTTTAAAAATTCAGATGCTAATTGTTGAACTTCCTTTGGCCAAGTAGCAGACCACATAAGAGTTTGCCTGTTAAAGTTATAAGTTATGCATGAATGCATATTATTCATGAAATTTTACCTGTCAGGTCTTATTTGTTCAATAATTTTTCTTATTTGAGGTTCAAATCCCATATCCAGCATCCTGTCAGCTTCATCCAATACCAAATAGGTGCATCTTTTCAGATTTGTCCTGTTGCTTTCGAGAAAATCAATCAAACGGCCAGGGGTAGCAATTACAATTTCTACACCATCCATAAGATCTAAAGCCTGTGGCCCTTTTGGAGCCCCACCAAAAATACAGGTATTTCTAATGCGAGCACTTTTACCCAAGTCGTTTGCCACCTGATAAGAAACGACTAAATTAATAAAAGTGTTTGAAAATGTTATAGGTAGTTCATGCCTGTTGAATTTGTTGTGCAAGCTCTCTTGTAGGAGCTAAAATAAGTGCAATAGGTCCATCTCCTCTACCAAGTTTTAATTGATTATTTATGTGAACAATGGCTGGCAATATGTAACTTAAAGTTTTCCCTGAGCCAGTTGAAGCTATACCAACCATATCTTTACCAGACAAAGCCAAGGGCCAGCCTTGAGACTGTATAGGTGTAGGATTTTTAAATCCTTGTTTTCGAAGCTCTGATATTACATAATCAGGAAATCTAGAAAATCGATAATAAAGCTACAAGCTTGCATTTCAAATGTATATTTACCCGGCTTCTTCAAAACTTAGAACTGGAGCAGGTACATTTTTGCCTTTCAAAGTAATTTCCTTACTTTTTCTCCATTCCTCTACCTCATAGTATGACCTATCTGAGACTGATGGGTGTGGCACATAAAAATCTTTTTTGAAGGGTTCAAGTCGGCTGAGATCCCAACGCGGTCTCCGCAAGTTAGCACCTGCCTGACCTCTACGAGAACCTCCCATGTAGCCTCTATCCCTTCCACCACGGTCTCTGCTCCTAGATCTCCTACGATCACCCCTAGAAGAGATTTTTGTTAAAGTGTATAATGATATCAATAATAATTTTTATTTCTAGTACTTGGTTGAGACTGAGTGTGAGACATATAAAATCATCATGAATTTACAAAGGTCATACATAGGTATTACAATTTTTTGCTTAATATGTCCTCTACATAGTTTTTTGAATTATACTAAGGTGATGAAAATTTATATTGGCTTTACTTATGTAAAACTTATCTCTTGCATGAGTATTGTACTCAGGTATTTGTCTAACAAATATACATTTTTTTGAAGATGTCCAGGCAGTACCTACTTAGATCATTTTATAAATTAATATCATTTTATTCTGGGTAATTTTCAGTTTTACACTTAAGAGATTGGCTAGATGTAAGCCATAAATTCTACAGTTTAAAATAATCTGCAAAGCTATATTCTGTTTTTTTTTTTTTTTTTCATTACTCATTACTTAGTTCAATTTCAGAGTTGTTCATTGAGAATAATACTGTTGGGCAAAAATAAAAATGAGGAGCTATACTATACCTAATTGTTTTGTAAATATGTAAGTAGTTAGTAGTAGTAACTAGTAAACATGCTTTATTGTCAAAGATTACATTGATCCGTTTTGACAAAGCTAAGTCTTAAATATATCGCAATAAAAAAATCCATTAAGTGGACACAAAAATCAAATATAAAGATTAAATATAAAAAAATATAAAACACACACATCAGTCCCACATCCAACATTCAATCCAAAAATCGTACGTTATCTAAAAATACAACTAGCTTAAATTAAATTAGAAAAACATGAATGAAGGTACTTAACAAATCAGAAATACAGATAATACATTAATTATAAAAATTGTTAGCAGTCAAATTTCATCTATTTATCTTAGTCACAAATCTATATCTAATTAATATCACATTGGTCATAAAGTTTAAAATTTTAAAGATAAAAACAATTAGATAAAATAAAAAACAAAAACAATTAGATAAAACAAAAAACAAAACATTAAAAAATACCTATGTAAAAAAAACACATTAAATAGTAACAAAAGAAAAGGAACCTGGTAATTAGCAACATAGAACGTTTACCGATTGAGTTTGGCTTTGTAACTGAAGCAATAGGACCATCCTTGATCAAGGGATTGGTTTAAGAAAGACAATTTAATAGTTTAAAGTAGCATATAAAATTAAATGAAATTCCTAAAATTAAAAATAGAACATATCATGAAAATTCAAAATGAAAAGTCTAAATACTCCTCCACAGAATAGAAGGCTTTCTTTGCAAAGATGTTTTTGAGTTCTTTACGGAATTTGGCTACATCGGGAATATTCATAATAGCGGTAGGAAGGTGATTATATAATTTTATGGCAGTATAAATAATAGTTTTTACCAAGCGTAGAATAGGGAATTGGAAGTGGTATGGCATGTCTTTGATGTGTACTATGAGAGCTCTGATGTGCAGGAAAAAGAGATTTGTATTTGTGAACAAGAGTGACCGATTCCAGGACAAAGAGAGACGGAAGAGTTAAAATATTGTAAGAAATAAATAAAGGTTTACAGTGGTCTCGCGGCGATGCACCAGCAATAAATCGAACTGCACGTTTTTGAATTCTGAAGACTGACTCGAAGAGGTACCGGGAGCAACAGCCCCAAAAAGGTAAACCGTAAGAAAGATGAGAGTGGACAACTGCATAGTAAACGGATTTGGCGATCGGGATGTTAAGGTGTTCAGCAACAATTCTAACGCAAAAACAGCCAGACACGAGCTTCTTATTAAGTGCTATAATATGAGATCGAAAATTGAGATAGGCATCTAACTGAAGGCCGAGAAACTTGGTGCTTTGCGAAGATTTAACTGTAAACTGCTCACAATCAATTTGGTCGATATTACATCGAAAACCAATAACTTGGGTTTTGGTGAAGTTGAGCAGAAGCCCATTTGCATCGCACCATGCCTTAATAGCACTGATGTCCCTTGGGACCAGCTCCGCAGTCGTCCTCCGATGCCACACAATCGTTGCATCGTCCGCAGACACAGCAAACACCCCCGAGATTCCCAGATGTAGTAAGTCATTTATATAAATGAGAAAAAGGATTGGTCCTAGGACTGATCCTTGCGGGACTCCATAGCTGATCTGCTGCTCAGAGGAGAATTCACCGTTTGCCGTGACATGCTGGCTTCGACCAAACAAATATGATCTAAACCATTCCAAAGCTTCTCCACGGAACCCATAGACCTCCATCTTTCTGAGCAGCGTCCCGTGACTCACACAGTCGAAAGCCTGGGAGAAGTCACAGAATGATCCTGCGGTGGCAAAGCCATCGTTGTAATGTCTAAAGAGTTTTTCCATGACATGAAACATAGCATCATGGGTGCCTTTCCTTGGTAGGAAGCCAAATTGAGCGGGATTTTAAATGTTATGCTCACATAAATTGTTTTTCCATCTACCATAATAGTTGTGTGAAGAGACTGGGTAAAATTAAGACCAAAATTGATGATACAAAAATCGAGTGTTGCCAACGTCAAGATTCTAACCTCAAAAAACATGATGAATTGCATAAAATGGAAGTTTCCAAAATGACTATGGAAATTCAGTACCTGAAGAGGATGCTGGATGAATTAGCGGAGAAAAGTAATGTGCTTAAACAAAACAATGCGCTGCTATTGGAGAAAATTGATAACCTCAAAGTAAACCCACAAGTAAACAAACCATCTTATTCCAGCATTCTCGAGCCCAAATCTCAGTCTGCTGCAAATTCTAAACCCCAAACTACAAAGGGACAGCTTCCAAATCACGAAAAATCCAATAAAATTGATTTTCCCAAAGGTACAAATCAAAACTATCAAACAATGGTTAAAGGTCACAAAAATAAATTACAACAAATCATAAATCTGGAAAGTGATATGAACACCACTGCAAATGCTCTAAATAACTTACGTAGGGAAACCCAATTTTCGTTGGATGAAGAAAAAAGTGATGACGGTTTCAAAGTTGTTCAGCGGAGACCACAGAAAAAGAGGTTAGGCACAAGAAATGTGGGTACTGGACAGGAAGCAGATAGTTTCATGGGTGGTGACAGGAGAGCCTGGATTTATCTGTATAGAATAAAACGCCATGTTACATCACAACAAATTGAAGACTATGTTACAAAGCAGCCGGGTTTTGAAAACTTGAAAATTTCAGTGAAAGAGTTACCAAGTGATCCTACAAGATTGAAATCCTTTGTATTGACAGCACCGTTAAACCACAAAGATAAACTTTATGAACCAGATTTCTGGCCACAAAATGTTGGAATCAGGCGCTTCAACCACAGCCTGTTTTTGAAGTACAAACCAGGAGGAGATTTTTTAGCTTGAATCATTCAGAAAGTTCAGGAAATATTGTGTTACGTCTAGCACACCAGAATATACAATGTCTCAGAAACAAGGTGGATGAAGTGGAGGTGTTATTGATGGAGGAAGAAATAGACATTATGTGCATGTCAGAAAGTTGGAGTGTTGACTCAGAGATGGACAGTTTGAATATATCTGGTTACCATACTGCTAGTTACTTTAATCGGACCCAAAACAGGCACGGGGGTGTCTCAATCCTGGTGAAAAATGGCACCAGTTTCTCCTGCATTGACTTGGTTTCTGCGTTCTGTATTGAGCTGATTTTTGAGTGCACCGGCATACAGATTTACACAGAGAATATTAAAACCAATATCCTATGTATATACAGGTCTCCACTATCCCAAAAGGCTAGTTTCTTTGTACAACTTGAGCTGTGCCTAGAGCACCTAACCAGGATCTTTCCTTATAGTCGTACTATTATAACTGGTGATTTTAATATTAATTTATTCCAGGATAACTCAGATAAGTTTCAACTTCTAGACATTTTAAATTCTTTCAATATTATTCCAGTGTTTAATGTACCTACTCGTGTAGGCAGAAACTCATCCACTGCCATTGATTATATATGTACAAATATAAACTCCCTTCTACTAGATAAAAAAGTTTCTGAGAATGGCCTATCTGACCATACCTTTCAACTAATTAGTCTTCACGTTATCTCGAATGCAACTCCTACCACCACCCTAAAAAGAGCTTTTTCGGAAAGAAACAAGGCATATTTTAGACAATTATTAAATGTACACTCTTGGGATGTTTTCGTTGAGGGTAATGGTAATGTCAATGACAGCATGATTTATTTTACTAATACCTTGCAAAGTTACTTGAACATTTGTTTCCCTCTAGTAAAAATGAAAGTAACAAACTATAACACCAATAAACAATGGCTCTCATTAGGTATACGTACTTCCTCAAAAAATCTGAAAAAACTTTTTTATAAACAACTAAAAGGAGAACTCTCTCCAGAATTTTACAAACAGTATAAAAATATTTACAGAAGAACTTTAAAGCTAGCTAAACGTATGTATTATGATAACAAGTTGTCCTTATCCACAAACAAATCAAAAACCGTCTGGGACATTATAAATTCTACAACAAAAAGTCAGAAGAAAGTTGAAATTGAAAGTATTATCTGTAATGATATTGAATACAAAAATCCTAGTCAAATTGCAAACCTCTTTAATTCCTTTTTCATTAATATACCCTTGAAAATCCAAGAAAATCAGAATATAAATAGAATACCCCAGCACAATGTTGTATCTAGGATTGAGAGTACCATTTTCTTACACGATGTTTGAGAGACTGAAATGATGCAAGCAATTAATAATTTAAAAAATACAAACTCAACCGGCCCTGATGAATTCTCATCATCTTTAATTAAAAGCTGTAAAGATCAACTATGTAAACCCCTTTGCTCTCTTCTAAACTTGTGTTTTTCAGAGGCAACATTTCCAGACTGTTTGAAAGTATCTAAAGTTATCTGCTTGCATAAAAAAGATAATACAAATGATATGGGAAACTATCGCCCTATATCGCTTTTATCAACATTCTCAAAAATATTTGAAAAAATTATATCTAAACGCATTTTAAACTTTTTAAATTCAAATAATCTAATATCAAATAC